GGTTTTTTCCAGTATTTGCCTTAGCACAAAGATCTGGTCTGTTGTTGATCGACCAGGCCTAAAATCACTTTGATATTCGCCAAGAAGCTCTTTTAAATATCAGGCCACTACAGCCACTTTGTATCAGCCACTAAAATACAAATTTGTATTTTGAGAACGATTTCCGAAGTGGAAATTGAAACGTCAATAAACGTATTTTTATCTTTAATTGTGGCTTATTCCCAGTTTAATAGTAATTAATTTACAATGCCACAAGAAAATAGCTTCAGAACAATATCTGTATTAATATATGAAAAAGTAATTAACATCACAGTAAATGTGTAAACAGAGCAATCTTACACAAAAAATTTAAGCTTCGTAAAATAATCAAAGAAATAAAAAGCCACTAAAAAAATAAAAACACAAAAAATACCCAATTTATGGTGATTACAAAAGCTCAACAGCGACCGGAAAGCGTAACAATACATGAGGAACAAATTAAAAAAGTTCAACTGGGAAAAATATTTAATGAAAAAATGAGTACACAAAAGGATAAAAGCAAGAATAGGTCAGACAAGAAATGCCTCCAACAAAGTGAAAAAAGTATTATGTAGCAGGGACATTCCAATTTCTTTAAAGATAAGAATTCTGAGAATGTTTTCTTCTTATAATTTTTAAAGTTGGAGATTTGATATTAAATAAAGACGTTTTAGACAGATTAAAAGCTTTCGAATTATAAACGTATAGAAAAATATATTAGTAATAATTTTCCCAATCTCAATCCCAATCCCAATAATGGGAAAAGAGAAAGAGGCTTTAAATATTTACTATTAAAATGGGGAAATTGCAATATTTGAACGTATCGTGGTGGGACGAGCATTGTAAATTTCTGTATTTGTTAATACAAGGAAAAATACACTGTAGGAGGAATTGTGGAAGAAGAGGCTTATTCTGGTAAAAAAATTGAGAGCTTGTTTTAACGACACTTCTGCTGATATCTTTATAGCACTGTTGGACAGTGATGTAAAAATAATTTTGAATAATAAGTATAGACTGAAAAGATAGAACTTTAGATTTGACTTTATATATGTAATATCAGAAATGCACTATTTCATATAAATGCCTAATAAGATAAATGGCAATCATTGTACAAAACTGGAACATTGTACCTGGAATTGGTACAAAATATGTATCGTGGTTAAAGCATGTTAGGGAATGGAAATATACGGACAAAATAGCTGTCTAATCTATATTCTTTATTTTAAATTTTCATTTATTTTAGTTCTATTCCCATTTACTCTTCACATATTCCCCCTATTCAATTCCTGTATCAAATCCATAGAGATATATAAAATGTCTATCATATAATCCAAGTAGCGACAAACTTTATTTGTCTATTGGAGATTGTGTTTTCCAAGTTCTATCATTCTTTTATTGGTGTTTTTTTAATATCTTTTGTCTATTTAAAGTGGTCATTTATTTAGTTAATGAACCTATTTCCATTCTTAAATCTCCATTGGCATTGACAGTATGGCTTTGTCGCGGGCAAAAGTACAACTGAGTATGCGTTGGAGGTGTTTCGGGCCTTGGAGGGAAGCAACACCAGTGGTCCCAAACACGAAAGGAGGAGGGTACTACATGGTGCATTCGCCCGTTCTCTACGCAGACCCAGTCTGATATAAGGCGAAGTAAACATTGTCCTACCGAGAGCACTTGGCACGCGTGGATAAAACCAGCCTACTATGCGTAGCATATGCCTACAGGATTGTGTATGAGGTGGCCCTGTAGGTGATCACGGGATGTATTCCCCTGCATCTTATGGTGCTAGAGAGGGAACGCCTCAATCGGAGTCGCCCTAAGGGAACCGAAGAGCGAGCCCATACGTTGCACTTGTAGCAGCGGGAGTGGGATGCAACGGTGGATGTTACACAGTGGACAAAGTCACTGATCCCAAACCTGAGCGGGTGAGTAGCCTGTAAGCATCGGCGTTTAGATTATTATCTGACGCAGGTACTTACAGGACACGGTTGCTTCCGCAACTACCTGTGCAGGTTCGGAAGGGCAGCCTCTGAGACCTGCCTGTACGGGGATGGCGCGGACAGTTTGTCGCATACACTCTGCATTGCGTCCGTTTTACGTGGGACCGAACTCACCTGAAGCTGGAGCTGGGACATCGCCTCGAGTACATAATTAGTCTTGTGAACATTATGCTCTCTGACTCGGGAAGGTGGAACAGCATCCATAGGTTCGTCAAGGCGATTCTTCGGAAGAAAGAGGACGAGGAGAGACTGCCCCCCGGGGTAGTCCCGGGGTATGAGCGCATGGGACAAGGGACGCTTACAGGCGCCCCTACACTACATTGCGACCGGGCGTTAAAGGTTACGTACACATATATGTTATTTATTTTATTTATTTGTTTTTATACTTTTATTAATTTATACACATATGATAAGTTTTTACTTTTTAACATTTTAACCTTTTATTTATACAATTCTCTATATATTTTACACTCATTTTTTAAATTTTTTACATTTTATTTTTACATTCTATCTATACACCAATTTCGTTTATTTATTTATAAAATATTTTATTTTACATTTACACATTAATGTTGTCCTGTCCGTGTGTCCGTGTGTGTGTATGTGTATGTGTGTGTGTATGTGTGTGTGTGTGTGTGTGTGTGTGTGTGTGTGTGTGTGTGTGTGTGTGTGTGTGTGTGCTTGTAACCAAAGAGGGTTATTGCCCAGTTAAATCTTTGTATAGACCCAGATTGTTTGTAGGGAGTAAGGAGAGTATATATCCACACAGGATGGTTCCACTTGGCGTTCTCTGGAGAATATGGCGGTGGTAGTCTTAGGTGGTAGCAAGCCCTTTTGGCTCGAGTCCGGCAATTTTCTGTGGAGCCCTCAGCTCCGCATACGATTCCAATTAATTGACCAAGGGCAGTTCGGTAGCACAAGCAGCTGCGTAATTTATATTAAAATCACTGCATAGAGTTTATGCTTTTGTTAGTCAGGGAATCTAACAAGTTTAGTAGGTTTTGAAAAAATTGTTTCGTGGGTGATTCAGGTGAACTATAAATGCAAAGAATGTATAGATTAAGATTCTTATTATAAACTAAGTAGAACTCAAAGAATACTTCATTTAACAGAAAGTCATATTTTGTTACCAACGAGAAATCATTATCTGTAGAGAGAATTAGGGTGCCATCATCAGCTTAACTTGGCCGATCATACCTAGCAATTGTAATATAGTGTTCTACAAAAAAATGCTCGTTCTTAATTAGGGGAAGTCCTAATTCATCTAAAAACAAAAATAATTCATCTGCTTTATATCTTTTAGAACAAATATTAATTGGAACCATGCTAAAGTTGTCATCAATAAAGTAATTTGAAATTTCTAGTCCGACATAACACGTCCTATATCGTTTAAAAATTTCTTCTTGGAGAGACAACGGAATAGTAAATTCAGTGACATTCCCTTGATTTTTACACGTGAATAATTCGTTCCGAAGTGAGAAAGGACCTAGAAGCAGCAAGATCAGCTTCCACCTTAGCTGTATCAATTCCATAGGCATCGTTACCTTTTAGAAGAATTGAATATCTTCATTCTTAGTGGGAAGTCCTTCGTAGCATACTGAAGCAGATTGGTCGTCTAGGAAAGCAAAATAGCAAGGTAGCTTAACCGCTTCTAAGATATCCGGTTTCCTTAATCTTGCTAGAAGATATTGACTGTTCGTGTTATTGATTAATCTAACTCTTGATGGAGTCAAAGGATCCAGATTTCTCGATGGCTCCAAAGTATCTTCCTTAACGAAATTAATTTAGGAATGGAAAGGATTCTTTGATTTGAAAATTTCGATGGCCCGCTTGTATGTGAGTATTTTTGTGTTTTCCACTTCATTTTGGTTATTGCTTGAAATAGAAACTGAATTTTCCCTGTTAACGGGGCTTCTGATGTTCTTCGGACTCATATTTGACTCATATAAAGACGTAAACATGAAAATTCTACAGACTATTTAATAGTGGCACCAGACGGCCAAATTTCCTTATTAAATAATAAGTCAAATGGAGGTTTTAAATTTTATGACTGTTTAGAATGAGGAACCACTTGCTGCATCAGGCATCTTGAAGGAGGACATAACATCTAATATATTTCTTGATATCTAGCTTCTCTTTAATAAAGTAAACCACTTATATAGGGGTACACATTGTCGTTAAGTTGCTAATAACTACATAATGACATTTATTTTCTGTGATTTTTGGCTTTTGCTCTGGACTTGATTCGAAATGTTGGGGGTCTTAAATTTAGCCACCTGAGGTAGCATAAAGTGTATTTCTATTCATTATTTTTTTTGTTGGTATAGTAGATAATTTTTTTGGTAAGATTACTCATTTGACTAGATATTTCATTGATGTTTGAAGAGAGCTATTCTACCCCCATCTTAATCCCAGTTAAATTTGAGTCTTGGACTTAAATCTTAATAGTGTCATGGGAACAGCAAAAAAACTGATATTATATCGAAAATGTCTTGTTCTACCTGCCTTATAGATTTTAAAACATTCCAGGGATGGGTTATTTATTTTATGGATTTCATCAATTTTATTTGTGAACTATTCGAAGCCCAAAACAATTGGCTTCGAACATTAGTTGGAGTTATTTTGTTACACCTAGATATGATTTACATAAAGACGAACTCTTTTGTTGTATTAAAAAGTACAAAGAAATTTTCTTAATATTTGATCATACATGCTATAAATGTTCAGAAGGTATTTTCTTATTAAACACGAATCAACACACTAATAATTTAATTCTTGTTTTTCGATATAATCAACCACTACCTACAAATAATGTGAATGTTTTAACTGTCCCCTGTAGTTATTTTTAACTAAAATTACTTACTACGAAATCAATAGGCAAAGCCAAGAGTATTTTATAACCCAAAGATCACATTATAATTGTACATGAGCTGAAATAAATGAGTAACAAGTTATTTTTCTTAATTCCAAGCAAAACACAAGATGCTAAAGAACGTTAGTGTTAGACAACATAGTAAACTTCGTTCTGAAAAACCCGATATACGGGTTTACTGGAGTCGATGGATGATATTATTTCTTTATAATATGTGCGCCTGTTTAAGTACTTTTCAGTGGATTCAGTACTCTATTATTACTAATGTTGTGCTTAAGTACTATCATATTAGTGAAAGTGAAGTGGACTGGAGCGCAATGTGTTTTAGTGCCATGTGGCCCTTGACTTTTTTTCCCGTGTGTTTTATTATTGACAAAACGGTAGGTTCAACATTTATGTCAAGAGATTTCAATTTAAGATATTATTAATTATTTTACTTCATTTGACACTTTGTTCCATTATCCTTTTCATCGTTTCATTTTCAAAGCTTTTTTTTAAACGACGGTTTGTCAGTAAAAATACTTTTCTCTATCTAACGCGCTAAAAGCATTCATCTTTAGACATAGATTTTCCCCTCTTTTCTCCATGGTTCTCTGTCCTGTTCTATGTACATACGTCTTGATATCTCTTTGTCGTTTGTAATGCTATAGTTTCCAATGTATAATTATCTTCATTTCTGACTCTATCCTATGATATTCTAAGCATCTGGCGCATGCACCACATTTCAAAAATTTTGTTAATGAATCTTGACTATATGGTCCATGCTTTCATTCCGTACAAGAGAAAAGGCCAAATGTAATATTTGAAAATCTTGTATCTCAAGTAGAAATATAACTTGCAATTAGTCAAAAAGGCTATAGCGGGATAAAAATGTTTAGCTCCCCAAGTGGCCCCTGTGGCCCTCTATCGCAAAAATGTGTGTTTTTTAAAAATTTTTCCCGAAGAAAGATCCTTTGCTTTAAAAAAGCTGAAAAAATTCACAAATATACATTTTACTGCCCCAAAAACCCTCTGATTTATTACAGATATTTATAATTAAAATTGAGCCCGGAAAAATATTTGAATTTTTCAAAGAATTTTTAAGTTATGTACGTAATTTTTGACAAATAATTATTTTTTTATTTTTTTCCCACTTATTTGAAATGGCTGGTTGTAGAATTTTCATTTATGCTTCAAGAAAATGAGATTAAATGTGCTTAAAATATGTAACAAATCACCGGAAAATGCAGTTTTTTTCGAAATCAGAGTATGTTTCAGTGTCCAAATGGTCAATATAACACCGCTAATAAAAAACTAAAAGTTAAAAAGTACATTAAAGTCAGAGATTTCACAACCCTGTGTGGGACCTAGCCTTCTCAAGAATTTCTCTGCAGTCGTCCCTATCCATCGTCTCGTATCCATCCGCCAAGCACGTATTTCCATAAGTCTCATGCCTTCCTCTTCTTCTCTGACCAATGGATCTATCAAGGAGGATTTTTCTGGCTGGGCCATTTTGTTCCATCTGCATTATCTGCTATATCAACGTCAAACGTCCTACATTAATTTATTTTATGATATTATACGATAATTATATGTTTCCGTTAGTTTTGAGAAGCACACTCATTAATAGTAAGAAAAATAGCAGAAAAAAAAAATGAAAAATAATTTTAGATTTAAAATTTATTAACACTATTTCTGTAAATGAGCTGTATCAAAATTTTCAAAAACGTTCAGTACACCAAATAAAGGATCCACGATCAATATTTTAGGATAAGTAAAGATTGATGCATAATTTAAAACCTTTATTGGAACGAAAAAGGCAAGGCTGTGTCATGACTCCATTGCTCTTTAACTTGTACTCTAAATACATATTCCAACAAGCTCTAGACGGCGCCTAAATTGATAAAAATAAATAAACGGTAAATATATTAACAATATCGTGTATGTCGATATTATATATATATATATATATATATATATATATATATATATATATATATATATATATATATATATCAAGCAACTTGAACTTTATGTATTAATTGTGTCAGAGACTGCGGAGGATGGTGCAAAGTGGACAGTTTCCTTCCCATCATATCCCATACATGTTCGATAGGATTTAAATCTGGAGCACGGGGCGGCCACGGCAGAACATTAACGCCAGTGACTTGGAAAAAGTCCATTGTTGGACGAGAAATATGGGGACGCGCGTTGCCTTGCTGAAAAAGGACGCCTCGACGACCGTCGAGATAAGACAGCAAAGTGGTTTGTAAGATGTCTTACCATCCTACGACCATCATGCATTCCTAAACAGAATCATGATTCATCGCTGAATGCTACATTACGTCATTCTGCCACACAATTCTACCGTTCTCTGCACCGCAGCCAAACGAACCACTAGTCGTAGGTGAAATGAAATTAGTCCAAAGGCTCGAAGTCGACTACTACTCCAAACAATTGGTCAGCAATTTAACGCGTAGTAGTAAGCCAAATCCATATCTTTATATGCAATAATTCTACCCCTGTCAAAATCGCTAACATGGTTGTAATTTGGTGTCTTAGAAATCGAGGCATTTTCATGCACTGAATACAATTAGACTAAGGAATAATAACTAAAAATTTCTATACAAACCAGTTTTTACAAATCGGTCTTTTTACAAAAAAATTTAAAAATAAAAGTTTATTTTTACAAAAAGTAGAAAAGATAAGACATTGGTATTGTTATCATAGCATGTTTTAAACATAGTCATTTTGTTGCCAAACAATTAAGTTCAAGAAATATTATTCCATCTGGGTGTAACACTTGACTAAGCTCTTTAATATTGATGATTCTTTCTGTCTCAAATTAATGGAATATTAACGTTGTCCATACCAACATTTTTTTCATAATCATGATCATTATTATGATCATCATCATTATCATCATTCTGGCTTTACAACCCTACGTAGGTCCTAGCCTCCTCAAAAATTTCTCTCCAGTCGTTCCAATCCATGCCCATGGTCTTCCTCCGCTAAGCATATATTCCCAAAAATTTTACACAATATTGCTCATGTCTTCATCGACGTTATCAAGGAACCTTGTTCTGGGTCTTCCTCTTCTTCGCTGATCCTGAAACATCTTTTTCTCCTTCTTTATTTCGGACATCGAACTTCACTCCGCCGTTTTAAGGAGTTCAGAGCATACAGGCAATTGTGTGTTTGTACTAGTTCATTTAAAGTCAGCTCATTACATATTACATACTACTTATGTTTTCAATATATGTAATTGAATTCAAATAATATTTATTAAGTGATTAATTTGCAAGCAGTATTTTTTCCGTCATATCTCATCTTTTTGTGTAGCGTAAGATAATGATAATTAAAAAACTATCATTGTTGCTGAGAGCAAGAAATGTAAACCTATCGTTATAAATATATGATAAATATTAATGGACAACCATTCAAGTGTCTCTCGTAATTTATTTATTACGTTAATATGACTCATAATCTGCTTTAAAATACAAAAATACAACCTTACAGTTTAATTTAGAATTGGAGATTACTCGCTTCCCAGTATTAACATTTAGTAGTTTCCACATAATATAATATCGATTACATAATTAGATACTACCTTAAATAGAGGGATTTTTCATTTTCCAATCAATAATTATTATTGGAATCGATCTTAATATGATAACTATCTATTGTTATCTTTTTATACACATTAACTTCTTTATAAATTTGCCAATTATGTAATTTATTTTTTATAAGCCTATACATTTATATTTAGGTAAAAACAGAAGTGATTTATGGTAAATCTATTTAACCCCTTTTATGACTTTTATGCATTTTTTTCGTATTCTAAAAACCTTAGGTTAAACATCTTCTGAAAAATATTTCTCCTATTTTTTTGTCTCTACTCAACCCATTGTCCTTATTGCTTTGTAAATTTTAGTTTGTTATACCGTTTCTTTATTTTTAGCCATAGTAGTGTATAAAAGTCACTCCTTATCTGGTAAATGTGTCTGGTTATTTGATCATCATCATTAGCTCTACCATTCTTTGTCGTTTGTGGTGCATGGGATATTATATAATTTTTCACATTCTGTTCTGTTCCTGGCTTTCTGTTTTCACTTATACAAAAAATTATTACCTGATTTTTCATACAACTTCATTGTATTTTCTTATTTCGAAGAGTTTATAAAGCTAGTGTAAGACCAATAATGACATATGCCTCAGAGACAAGACCCGACAACGCAAAGGCTATTGAAAACGGCAGAGATGAGAGTACTGAGAAGAATTACAGGAAATACATTGAGAGATTAAAAGAGAAGTGAAAACATTAGAAGAAAATGTAACGTACAGTGTATAAATGAATGGAATGAATGGAAAGGAAATAGAAAACAAGAATGGAATAACCACATAAGAACAATGGAGGAGACCCGTGTCGTCAAAATAGCAAGAAATAAGTCACCATTCGTCAAACGAAGTATCGGGCTACCGCGCAAAAGATGAAGTGACATCCGTCCATAGAGATAATAATCCGTCAATGAACAAGCAGAATTGCTTGTAAAGAAGAAGAACAAGAAGACGAAGAACTTTACTTCAAGTTTTCTTGATAGGGGATTCCGCCTAACTGATTCACATTTTTGCCTCCACTCTACAAATGTTTGATCGTCGATATCTGTCTTCTTCTTATTTATTTCTTAAAAATTTTAATTTTCTCTTCTACGTTTAACATTAGGCCACCCCTTTCTATTTCAATGTTATTTATTTATTAACGGTTAAATAATATAATCGCTTACTTATATATGAAAAAAAAAACTAACGTCCATCTAATGGGTTTATATGTTACGAAAATGTAAATTAACTTCTTCTTCTTAACGTGCCCTATCAAGTCCCCTTGACGTTGGCCATTAACATGGCGAAACTGTCTCTGTCTCGAGCTATTCTAAAGAGTTGCTCAGCTTTCTTTATTATTGTCCACTCTCTGATATTCTTCAACCAAGAAGCCTGCTTTCTACCAATTCCTCTGCGTCCTTCGATTTTACCCATCATAATAAGTTGAAGAATATTATATCGGTCTCCCCTTACTACGTGTCCAAAATAGGCCATCTTTCTACATCTGATGTTATCAAGCAGCTAGCGACCAGCATGTGCTCTCTCAAGGACTGCCACATTATTTATATAGTAAATTAACTACATTTACCTATATTAAGACCTAGTAGGTTCATTTCACACCAATTTGAGAGATTATCTATCTGCAATAGGTTTTTAGTAATATTAGCTACAAAGACATTATAGAAGATCCCGCATATGTAACCCAATGATCGTACTTTCTACGAAATAGGGATTCATATAAATGAATCCCCATCAAGTCCACAACACTCAAATTTTACAAGTAGTAACTTTCATTTAACAAATGCTTAAAAGGACAGAATATCTTTGACGATTAGAATATTGAATACATCAGCTTAATATTCAAGAAAGGGGATAAACGCAAATGCTCTAGTTATAGGGGACTAACTGTTACCAGCTCAGTGGGAAGGTTGTACGGTCGAATAAAAAAAGAATAGAATCAGAATACTAAGACAGAAGAACAAAATGGATTTCGTACAGGAAGACCGTGCACTGATGGTATATTCGTTCTGCAGCAGGTAATCGAAAAACGGGAGGCAAGGAATCTATCTACCCACCTATTGTTTGTAGATTTAGAGAAGGCATACGATACGGTACCTTTGAAAAAACTGTTTCAAACATTGATGAAAGTAGGTCTCAGTAGAGAGTATGTGAATGCTATCGCAAATATATATAAAAATGCAAGAAGTGTCGTTAAAGAAGGAAACTTTATATCTGAATCATTTCAGAGTTAGAAATTACAAACACAAACACATGCAATGAATATAAATATCTCGGATCTATAATATCTAAAGAAGTTACTACCAAAAGAGACATCGAAAACAGAATGCAGCAGAGAAAAAAGCGGTTAACATTCTTAACTCTCTACTATGGTCTAAATATATTAGACAAGAAACGAAATTGACAATCTATCGAACCTTGGTGGAGCCTATTATGACTTATGGGGCAAAAGTTTGGCAGATCACGAAAAAAGATAGAAAAAGAATAGAAGTAGTAGAAATGGATTTTCTAAGGAGAGCGTGTGGTGTATCCAAAAAAGATCATATCAGGAATAAAGATATTAGAAGGAGAACAAATACTGTATATTCCAGTGTACACAGAATTGAAACGAGACAACTAGTGTGGCATGGTTTAAATTACATACCACAATAAAGAAGAAGAAGGGGAAGGCCTTCAGTTACCTGGGAAGAAAATGTATGACACCTAATGAGAGATAGAGCCATCAAACCGCGCTTATTATATATATATATATAAATATATATAATATATATATATATATATATATATATATATATATATAGTAAATTGGGACAAACATTGTCTCAAGAGCATTTGAAAAATTCGTATATGTTGGATGCACTTACATCTTATTCCCTGATGCTGTTATATAATTACAAAGAATATTAAAAGACCCATAGTATGCTCATTCAATTGTCAAGTCAGTCATTTACTCCATTATTTTATTTTTATTTGAAGTTATTATCAAGATTTTTTTATGTAACACCATTAAAATTTGCCAGTCAACACATATGTTATTCATTTCCTTTGTGACCATATGAAAGAGAATAACAGTTCTACACTAAATTAGTGACCAAAATACGTAATAATGCGTACCATACGTTCATAGAAGCTGTGAACATTGGATCTGGTAGAATTTACTCCCTTAATGATCAAAAAGAGACGGAAAAACATGAACTACTCTGAATTTTTGTTCTAGGGAAGTTGTTTTCGTTAGAATCAGTTGACACAGTTAAAAATCAGGATGACATAATTAACTATGTCCACAGAGTTTTTGAATTCAGTGGAATTGCCTGGACTCCTACCTAACAATTTACAATTAAAAGTTGGATCAGTTGTAGTTATGCTGCGTAATATTAATCAAGCTCAACTGTGCAATGAAATGAGACTGACTGTAAAATGGCTAATGAATAATGTCATTGAGACAATGATCATCAAAATCATTTGGAAAAATACAAAGGAAAGGGAGGATAATTTGATCCCGCATATACCGATAATTCCAACGGACTTATCATTTGATTTTAAGCGTCTACAATTCCTGTGCGTTTGGCTTTTACAATGATGATAAACAAATCGCAAGGCCAACTATTGGATGTTTGCGAAATTAACTTAAAGTTTTCATGTTTAGCTCAAGGAAAACCATTATCGTTGTATTTACGCACCGCAAACGAACAAAAAAATTGTTTATCAGAAAGCATTAAATTGATTAAACTTTTTCATACATAATATTTTTGAGTATTTTTAGGACTATAAAGTAGTTAGAATTGTAGCCAAAATCTGTAATACATTTTCGGTGATATGAAAACTTCTATTATTTTTATTTCTTGGTCTAGGACAATCTTTAATAACTAAGATCTTGTCTGAATCAATTTTCGTGCCTTTTTCTGAAACGATATGTCGTAAATTGTATGCCTCTTTTTGCAATAGTGAACATTTCTTATAATTTACCATTAAGTTGGCATTTCTCAATCTGTCAAATACGTCGCTTAAGTTTTTCAGATGTTTATCAAAGCATAATCATTATATCATCAAGACATACTAGACATGTTTTCCAGTTAATTCCTCTTAAACCCATTTTCCTTAGACGCTTAAAAGTAGCTGGAGCATTACAAATGGTAGAATCTAGAACTTGTAGAGACAACGGCCAGTTGAAAAAACCTGTTTTGTCTCGATCATTATGTAAGTATAGGGTTTTTATCGCGGTTCTCAAAGAATTAGTTTGTAAGTACTTTTTTAAATTATCTTTATTATAACTATTATGAAACAAACCTATCTATCTAATATAAGCAATATCAATTTAAAACAATCTATCTAAAATTTGAAATTCTTTCTTATTAAATTATTAACAAAATTTGGTACCTTCTTTCACTTAACGCCTAAAGTTTTTCCAAAATTAAAGTTATTATCACCACTCGATATTTTCTTACTAATCCTTGGTTATCCAACTATTTTAATATGTTCCTTCTTAATTATCTTCACTCACCATATAAATATATAAATTTAAATCCTTGTAATTTCCATATAATGTACTTTCAAATATACTGGATCTTGTGGTTGTATTATTGAATGCTTACTTCAATGAATTAACTTCATACTATCACTATATTACTGTAGTAATTTAATCTCAACTGTATTAGACTTAATAATTCATTTAACTTAATCAATCCCTTCTTCTAGCTAATAATCTCTTCATTACCTCATAAATTCTTGTTAATTATTCTTTGTAATTAATAATCACATGTAATTGACTTAATAATCCTTGAATTGTTATAGCTAACTCCTCAATAATAATCTTGTAACTGATTTAATTTCTTCTAACTAACTCACTTAACTCAATTAATAATCTTCTTGTAACTAAATTCTTGAATTATAACTTTACTGACTCACTTTACTAACTGTAACTAACTAACTAACTGACTTCTAACTGATAACTGATCATAACTGAACTCTAACTGTAGTTGACTTATTTAACTGTACTTCTCTGTACTTATTTTACTGTACTTCATTTAACTTAATTCATATGCTAAATTCTCAAAAATACCCTCATATAATTATTTTTTAATAATATTATCTAGTATATAACTTATAAATTATGTCTTTAATTACTATTTGAATAAATTTAACATTGTATATCTGGTTGTATATATTTCTATGTTAATTTATTGCATTTCTGCTCTCACTACAATATATATATATATATATATATATATATATATATATATATATATATATATATATAACGCGTTCGGATTGTCTTTGTTGGTCTCGTGAAATCTAACAGTGAAGTTATATATTTGAAGAAGATAAACAATAGATATTTAGGTACACTCATTGATAAGAATGCCTTGGGAGAAACCGAAATTAAACACCGAATTAATCTGGGACGTAAAATTGAAGGATGTCTGAACTCCTTACGGTGGGATCGCAACATTTCCAAAAGCAACAAAAAAAGAATAGGGCAAACCATGGTTGAATCAGCTCTTTGTTATGGCTCTGAAGTATGGACAATTAATGCAGACATAAAGAGAAGATTGTTGGCAGTTGAAATAAATTATTTGAGAAGAAGTGCTAGAACATTGTGCCAATTATGAACACAATTAAAATAAGAAAAACATCGTATCTTGGCCACATACTCCGAAACGATAAATACTCTCTGCTACAAGTTATCATGCAAGGTAGAGTAGAGGGAAGAAAAGGCTTGGGAAGAAAGAAGAAATCTTGGCTGAGAAATATTAGAGATTGGACTAACCTCAGTGTTGAACAGATATTTCACGTTGCAAAAGATCGAGAAGCGTTCAAAGAAGTGATCGCCAACCTTCGTTAGAAGACGGCACAAGAAGAAGAAGAAGCTAGAACATCAAGGCTGGAAAAAAAAAGCAACGAATCTATAAGAAATAGCATGAATGCTACAGAAACGGTCATTGACGGAATAGAAAGAAGAGGTTTAAAATGGTTTGCACACCTATTGAGAATGCCTGATGAACGTTGACTCCAAAAACTTTAACAGATGGAAGCCCCCTGGAAGAAGAAAAAGAGGTAGATCTCGACGCTCATGGAATTAAGAAATTAGAAGAGCTATGGAATCGAGAGGTTTGGAGGAGAAACATGCCTTGGACCGGGAGGATTGGCGAAGGAGAACGGGAATACGGAGATAGCCGTCTCCAAAATGTATTGTATTTACAAGTTGGATCCTGTAATATATATAAATATATATATATAAATATATATATAAATATATATATATATATATATATATATATATATATATATATATATATATATATAAATATATATATATATATAATATATATATATATATATATATATATATATATAAACAATAGATGCCATTTTCATTATCATGATACTAAAAAATTAAAAAAAGAAACCTTAAAATCTTAATGTTGTTAATAATTTTATTATTTTATTATTTTAGGGTTTAAGAGTTGCAGCCCTCATAGGAGCCGTCCTAACCCTGTTAGGAGCTGCAGTCAAAATATTTTCCATAGGAGAAAACCTATTTTGGGTTGTTATGATTGGACAGACCATAGTGGCTCTTTCACAGATATTCATCTTGACATTACCGTCCAAACTAGCAGTTACGTGGTTTAGAACACAGGAAGTAAGTCGTTCATCATCATCGAGATTCCTTTATTCAGTGTTAAACATGTGTCTCCCGTTATAGTGTGTTCACTTTATAAATTTTCTAGTTCATTTTTCATGCTTCGTTTATATTTCAACTTGATGTCATTGCAATACCAAAAACAGAAGTTAATCTCGCATTTTACATTTACATGGTTTGCATGTACATATAGATTTAGTTTTTCACAGAAATATTGATTGGGGTATGTTATAAACTATTTTTTCAATGCAGATATCGACAGTTTGTTCTTTAGGCGTCTTTGGCTTAACGTTTGGCAGTGCTGTAGGATTCGTAGTCCCACCGATGCTAGTACGAGACAGTGATAATTTAGCCGAGATTGGTAATAACTTAAAGATCATGTGTTGGGGATTAACATTGGCTATGGCACCAGTTACACTAGCTATCTTCTTTTGTAAGTACTTTAGATCACTTTTATATTTATTTAAAATAAGAAGTAACTCATTATTTATTACTCGAAATATAATGTTGTTCTTGACTTTACAGAATAATTGACACAATATAACTATTTTTAATCAATACATTTATTACCAATAAGTTTTTATAATTCAATTTAAAAGGACAAGAAAAATATACCTTTATAGTTAACTTGGAACAACCAATCCCCGTGAAGCAGAATTTAATAAAGTTTTCATTTAAACCGAAGGGCATCTATGTATCATGTTTCAAAAATCTAAAAGAGTATAAGAAGAAAAAGAAGACCTATTGGTTTTCCTTTAAGAGATCTATTGGATCGAAATTTCATTAAATTTTTTAGTGTTCTAAAAGAAATTTTATAAACTAAAAGGAACTAATTTTTAAAAACTTTAAAACTTTTCCTACAGTTAATAGGACTAAGATAAAACGTACAAAATTCCAAGACTATATAATCCAGTCGTCAGAGACGAAAATGCCGCTGAACCTGTAAAAATCACACGACAATTTAAATTTTGAGAATGTCAATGTTAGAACTTCAAAACATATATGCAAAAAAGTTAACCGAATGATCCGTTTTCTCAGAAACAGCGCTTGAAGAGGCCGACGATTTTGAATGTCAGTTACGCTCACGAAATTAATTTTTAATAAAATTTGTATCAACTCTACGGTAAAAAATTCGATATCTTTTGATCAGATTGTCCTATCGACAAAAATCAAAATGCGTTTTAAAGGTATAGAATGCAGCTTTGGGATGTAATTTTTGTATTTTGCCTCAAATTTTTTAAATCATTTCTTTTTGATTTTTATTTTATTTAACGTCAATGTTACAATAAAAGTATCTTATAGTATTATCAGGTTTATTGTTATATGGCGGCACTTGTATGATTTCCTTTGACAAACAGATACTGTGGAAGTAAACACCAAATATTTATATAATATTTAGGATATGTTTTTCTGGCACCATCTGACACATTGAGAGGTCTCAGAATATCGAGACAAATTTATTTTTAAAAAGATACAATTGAAAAATGACACTGAATAACATACGAAATTATATAGTATGTAGCGGCTTCTCATAATAAGTCGGAAGTCTCAAACAAGAACAGCTTTTATCCACGGTGCTTTGATAATCAGGAAAAGCAGAGTAAAAATGATTTGGTCCGTCTACAATAATAAACATCCATAACTGATTTTCGCCGATGACTTTACAATACTAACGAAAATAAGAAAATATTTCCCCTCCACTATGTTTTCTCTTTGGTAAGGATGTAGTGGCGTGATGGAATTCTCTTGATTATTTCTGTCCAATTATCTCTCTCCTATGCGTTTTGTTTTGCTTCGAATAATGAGTAATTTATATATTTTATTTGGTCCGACCATCTTGCTGAAAGTTGCCCTCCAACTATCATTCGTTCCATACCTTCTCTTCTTCTAGTTATAATGTTCAAAGGAAATGATAGGAAATATTAATGCTCGAACATGATGTAATTTTGTGTTTTTTGTAATGTCAGTCTTACATATTTTTGTGAGTTTGACTGTTGCCGATCTGGCAAGCGTCTACGTATATCGTCCTCGCACCTTCCACTGCTGGTGATGACGGAGTCTAAATAACTAAATTGTCTAACCACTTCGTATCCTACCCTGTTTCGTGTCTCTGTTTGGTTGTTTCTGATTCTATCTATGATCATTACTTTGATTTTTTTATTTTCAAACCATATTTGGTACTCACTGTACCCAGTTTATTCATAATTTGATTCAGTTCTTCTGCTAAAGACGCCAATTATAACCGTGTCATCAGCGTATCGTAGGTGTTCGATTTTTATTACTTCTATTGTTGCTCCAGATTGCCATTCTTCAAAAACTTGACGCATAATGTGTTCACTAATATATTTAATATAGTGGAGGATATTATTCATCGCTGCCGAAATACAGATTTCAATTTGAAGGTTTTCAAAACCACGTTATTAACTCTTACTTTAGCGGTATTATTTACATACATTTTTGGTCACAAATAGATTGGATGCTCTGGCGTACCTATTTCCTTAAGTATATGCCGTATTTTAATGTATTTTACGTTATCGAAGCTTTCTAGTAGTCAAAAAATATAATAAATATGTTTCTATATTAAACTCTCTCGATTCTTCTGTAAATTGATGAATATTAAGAATATGTTCTCTTGTTGCTCTTCTTGGGACGACTCCGCATTGTTCTTGGGGAATCTGTGGTAAAGATAATTGATTTTAGTCTTTCATTGATGATATTGTGGAGTACTTTGCTCGCATGGGAGATTAATGCCACTGTCGGTAAACCTTTTTTATATATGGGACTATCAGCTTACCCCAGTCATTTTCCACTTTCCGGTATTTCAGATTTCATTGCAGATTCTAAGCATTAATTCAATATCTACTTCTTCCCTTTCTTTGAGCGTTTTAGCTGTTAGTTCATCTTCCCTTTCTGCTTTTCTGAATTTTAGCGTTTTTATTTCTGCCTCAAATTCTGATTACAATATTTTGGGTACTTTTTCTAACTTCTTTTCTCTGTATTATTGTCTGTTAGAGAATATTATTTCGTAATATTGTTTCCATACAGCTACGATGTCTTTTGGTTTTTTTTTATGGTATTTAAACGATTATCTTTGTTGATCTGTGTCTGCCGTCTAAATTCTCTCGCTATATATTTGACTTTTGAGAGAAGTTCTGAAGGTTCTTGGCGATTAATGTGCTCTTTTATAATCTAATTATTTTTGTCCTCTCTGCATAAGTCTTTTATAGTTGTATTTAGGGTGCCTATTTTTATTTTTTTTTGTATTTAATTTGATGTATAAATTTGAATATACATACGAATGCATTTATGCCCGACTTTCTTGATCGACGATGTGAAATAAATCTCGAAGTCGCGGAGTAAACTTTTATTGCTCGGTTAGAACTAACCAATGATCATTTTATATTATATATATATATATATATATATATATATATAAATATATATATATATATATATATATATATAAGATAGAAGGAGAGGATGACGAAGATTATTTATAGTGTACAAGAAAATCTCAGAAATGATTAGACTAGAAGCTTTTTAAATGATACATGGCCTCTTGAGCATTAAAAACAATATGTATTTCCATTTGGCTTTTGCACAATACGAATTTATGATCGATTCCTATTTTGATTTTTTTGTTGTGTTTAATTGAAGGATTTTACAGTTAAAACGTAGTTATGTCAACAATTTACGTTGTTTAGTTTTAATATGGCTTTTTTTGCTGCTCTCGATAATATATGCCCATTTCCGGAGTCGAATTTATTTATAACTGACACATTTTTTAAAAATTGCTAAATTAAAAATCATTTTTGAATTTTTTGTTCAATTTGTGATAATTTTTCTCTTCTTTCTTTCTTTATTTTTTGTGACAAGTCTCCGTTTTTATACAAAAAAAAATAAAATATCTTATTTTAGCCTATTTTTCATGGCTTTAATACATTCTCAAGAACTGTCTAATACAATAACATTCAACCAGAACAATAACCAAAACTACCACTAATATAATCTTAAATAGGAACAAAACATGTTCAAAATTACCTTCCTGAAACGTGAAACAAGTTACAACTCTTAGCCTCGTTGGTTGGCGTATTCGTGCAAATATTCCTGGTGTTTTCTTATTGAGTTATGTAAAGTGTTTCAGTTAAAATGGCTAAAACTTTTGCTCGTGCTGAACAAAAGCTCTTAATGCCCCAAGACTCAGAAATCAATTGTTTCTGAGGTATAAAGTTTCAAAGTATTGGTTTTTAGTTCATTTTTAAAAATCATGAATTTGAAAATGTACCTTCCCACACATTCAATATACAGCATATGAATCTCTATAAACACGAATATGGTATCGTAATGACATTTCTGAATGTTTTCCTGCCAAAAACAAAATGGAATGTCCTGGGTAGGATATTCACGTTGTAGCATTTTTGTTCCACCCAGTATATTATAAAAACTGAAAAAGATTATCAATCATTTTTGCGTTTCTGAGATCGATAATCTGAAAATTTTGAAGTCTGTGTATAATAAACAAATTGCTTTTTCGTTTGATCTTGTATCCGCCTAGATATTTACGCAGAAAATAAACAAGAATATTTTCGCTGGCTGGAAAGAGAATGATTTTTGGGGATGAATTCACTTCTCGGGGAGCAGCCTTGAGAAACGGTTGCTTTCATTGTTTAATATTGACAGCTGTGAGAGTACGATCCAGTTCTGGTCGGGTTTGGCCTGTTTTTAGTTTGGATATGGAAAAATATGGAAAATCAATAATATAGTGTAGTACTACGAATATATAAGTACAACAGTTAAACAAAGATAAAATAGTCATAAGTTTTAATTCGGTTGGATATTAGTCAGTGAATTGTGAAGCAATATTATAATGTTGGAGATAAGATCGCTAAATGTCTTCTTTCTGGTCAACTGAAGAAATACACATGTTAACTTTTATTGCCTGTATATCTAGTGCAGCGCAGTGCAAAAATTTTCTATAGTCACTTTAAATTTTTTCTGGTATCCCGTAATAATCTTTGTTTATAAATTCAGCCTAACAGTTGAAATGTCAGTGCTCTGGTGATCAAAGGGAATTGTTGTGCCCTTTTGTTCAGTTAATTAATATATATTTTTTTTACATATAGTAAGATATAATACCTATAATATTATGATAGTATGCTATAACCTGAGGTAATGCCTAAGTATTTTTGCTAAAGTTTACTATTTAAAATCCATTTTGTAGTTTTACCCAGTTATAAAGATATTCCATCTAATTTTAGAACGATTTACAACTGATTTATCTAAATTTGTATATTTGTCTCCTTGCTATTTGTTTTATTTTCTTTATGTTGACTTATCTAATCTGTTCTTCTTCTTCTTCACGTGCCATCTCCGCGAGAGAGGTTGGCAATCATCATGGCTATTCTGATCTTAAATGCTGCTGCTCTGATCTAATCTGTTAACAATGCGTAATACGTTTATCTGGCTGAACTTTTCAGTAATATAAATTGTTAATTTGTAGCCATTATTTGTTTAATGCTCTCCTATAATCTTCCTTTCTTCTGGTAACTAATGAGAAGGTAAATCTGAAAGAGATATAAAGATTTTATAGGTAATTGTGTTTATTTTTTAACTATGTATGCATAGTATACATCATATTATAATACTATATTATGTTTTTTTTTTGAGATTTAGCCTTTTTTTATCCTCTTAAACCAATCTTCTCATAGGTCAAGTGTCGAGTTGTCCTCGTCTCTAGACAGCAAAGAACTAGGTGGCGCCCTTTATTTTCCCACTTTTTTATTGGTATATTTCAATTCTCCTATTTTTTTTAAATATACCCCCTTCCCAAATCTATTGACCCACGTCCCAAAGCTCACCGTTGTGTCCTTCAAAACACCTGAGCGCCGGTTTCCAAGGTGAACTAACTTGTACCTGAATTTGCTTCTTTTCTTTCCATCCTCCAGTTCTTAGTCCAGACAAGTTACGTAAAACCGTGGATATCCCAGTGGAATATCCCGGTACTTGTTTCCAAATTCATTATTTTGAAAAATGAACTAAAAACTGACATTTTAGAGCTCTAACTCAAAAACAATTGGTATCTGAGTATTGTGTCAATGAGAACTTTTATGCAGCATGACAGAACCTACCTGTCTGCAAAGTTTCAGCCTATTTATTAGATATTTCTGCCGCGGTTCTTTATTAGATCTACCTAAAAACCTATATAATAATTTATTTAAAAGAGCTCGATATTTAGTGATTAAGGCCCATCTCTTTTAATGTTTTAAAATAGATCTTAAAAAGAATCAATATAATAAAGTGACAATCTTCTAAAACTTATAATTTAGAACAATATCGTGTGAAACTAGGTTTGACAGATCGTGTAAAACTAGGTTTGACACAAGAACATCATGTCTCCAAAACAAAATTATAATTACAAGCAAAAACATAAGGAAAATATTTTTAAACAAGTTGTTCTGAATCATGACATAATTTTAAATGTATTAGATATACTTCTAGTCTTAATTCATATTTTATTGTAGATTTTCCAGCGGAACCTCCATATCCTCCAAGCCAAGCTATGTTGGAAGAACGACAGAACAGACAAACAGTTACGTTCAAATCTTTCATTGGATCAATAAAAAGTTTACTTCAAAACAAATCTTTCCTGTTACATAATTTGGGCTATTCATGTAATATAGGCATTTATTCTTCGATTGGTACTTTACTAAACCAACTAATTTTAAATTATTTTCCGGTAAGTTATTATTATTTAATTTATTTACATATTTCATTTATTAATTTGACTTTTTGGTCTATTTTCCAGTAGGGTCAAAGTTTTTAAAATCTTTGGGACAACGCACACTTTGAATCTATATTAACATCTAATAATGTCTGTAAAATCATAACACAACTGGTACTATACCACTGTACTATTATAAATACTACTGTACTATTATACTACTATTCTACTATTCTATTATACTATTATACCATTATACTATTATACTATTATATACTATTATACTATTATACTATTATACTATTATACTATTATACTATTATACTATTATACTATTATACTATTATACTATTATACTATTATACTATTATACTATTATACTATTATACTATTATACTATTATACTATTATACTATTATACTATTATACTATTATACTATTATACTATTATACTATTATACTATTATACTATTATACTATTATACTATTATACTATTATACTATTATACTATTATACTATTATACTATTATACTATTATACTATTATACTATTATACTATTATACTATTATACTATTATACTATTATACTATTATACTATTATACTATTATACTATTATACTATTATACTATTATACTATTATACTATTATACTATTATACTATTATACTATTATACTATTATACGGATTATTGTGGAATAATAAAATATCAAAAGAAAATAAAAAATTATTTTTTAAAACAATAATAGAAACTATTGGGTTGTATGGCGTCGAACTTTGGGAAATCAATAAAAAAAAAACAAATAAAAAATTAAAGCAATGGATTATTGGAGACGATGTTGCCGGCACACTAAACTTGCTACGGTGAGGAACGTAGACATTAGGAAAGAAATGAAAATTGATCTAGACATAATAGATACTATCGAAGCCAAAAGTCTAAACTGGCCAAAATAGATGGCCAAAAAAGATAAAGAAATGGACTCCGCCCACTAGAAGAAAACGAGGTAGATAAAGACGGTTATGGAGAAGATGTTGAAGATGTAATGCCCGCCAGAGATTTAAAAACTGAAGATTGCTTCGACAGAAAACGCTGGAAATTAGGATGCGAGAAACGGCGCCAGCTAGAAGACTCGCCTATTATATATATTGAACAGATTTTTTTTTAAATGTCTTGGAAAATTTGACTCTCAACAATTTTACAAGATAAATCAAATTTTTTATTAGTTTAACTGCTTTAATTAAAAATAAACTTGTATCATATAGCTGAAGGATACAAATTGGCACAAAATCATAGTTTTATTTTATGTTTGAAAATGTTTGTTGTACTATTCCATTTTTAAACCATTCTCTGAAATGTGTAAGTGATTCGGAAAAATCAACAGATAATTCCATTATCACTGTTCTTAATAATGCAAAATTTTCTGCATAAAATATTGCAGCCTCTAATAAAGTTCCCCTTCTAGTAAAAATAGGTTTTATTGGAAGAGAAGGAAATTTATTTTTAATTTATTCTGCAATTATATTTAAACCATCTGCTAAGCAAGTTGTATGTACTAAACGTGGATAAAAATGTTCAAAATGTGTCCTATTTTAACAATGTAAGGTGCAGCGTCCGAAAGAAAGCAAAAATTGTTCGTTTTTTACGAACAGTTAAACGAATAAAAAATTTTGCTTAACTGTCTTGTAAAAACCTTGAAATTGTTAATGCGTTGGTTTTATCCAACTGTTTTTAAGCAATTAAATGCAATTTACAAGCTTGCTCATTTTTAAGCTCCGATTAATGTATCGAAAATGTTTTATTTTACTTAGTACCGCAGAATATACAGAATCGACCTCGTTTCTTCTTAAGTTTCTCTCACTTGGAATATTTCAATTGCAGTATTTTCCAATAACAATTGCCAAATTTTCGTTTCATAATTTCAACAAAAATATATTTGAGCTTAACATTTCTCCGCAAAAATCATGATAAAATGTCTCATACTCACTTGATTTCAGATTAGGTGAGTTTAAACACCTGCATATCGAATCTTGCATTTTTTTTCTCTATTCTTGTTTATTTTTTTTTCTCGTGTTTAAAGCAGTTATGCAATGCTGAACTGTTTCGATTTTTTTTCGCATGGTATCTGCAAAAAAATTTCTTCAGTATGTTGGCTAGATAATTTTTAGATCAAGGGATATTTAAAGAATTTAAATGTGTATTTACTTACAATTTTACTGCATTGTGAGCAAAATAATTTTCCCATATATCTCTGATCAATTCTGGATATGCCTTGATTCGCATATCGTTGTCTACAAAAAACTTAATAATATTTTATGTGTACCTATCAGCTTCTTATATTTATTTGTTTATAATGCAGTATAAAGCTAACAAGATGATAATAAAAATGAAACAGTATGTCAAAATAAAAAATCGATCTGGTCTATAAAAATAATAACGGCGAGCTTTACCACTCGATCAAACATCATGTTCACAGCTATTTTGCACCTTTTATCTTCAACTTCTTTTTTTGTTTAAAGTTTTTTAAAATGCATTACACAAACGAAATATTTTAGGGGGAACAAGAAGAAGCTGGCCGAATGGGACTTGTAATGATCCTAACAGGAATGGTTGGGTCCATTGTAACGGGTATTGTCTTGGACAAAACCCACAAATACAAGTAAGTTCGCTACGAGACAGAGATTTCTTTATTTTTTTAAACAATTACTTTTAGGGAAACCTCATTTGTTATTTTTGTGTTCACTGCCCTTTGCTTGGGAGGATTAACGGTGTCGTTGGAGATGAAATCTAAATGGATGGTTTATGTAGCGATTGGTATGTTTGGGTAAGTAGACATAAAAATAAAAAATAAAAAAGTTCTATCGAAGTGAAATAATTATTGGAGCAGAATTAAAATAATACTATAAATAATTATTTAACGTATCATGATAAGAAGTAAACGATACCTATGTAATAAGCTATATCGACCAGGGCGGATTTATTTTGAGATGGATGTGAGAAGTGGCATTGTGATTTTTGCAAAAAAAGTTTTGTGATAACTTCTGTAGAAATGAATTGACTACGTTACACACTTTTTATTTAACTGAACTACAATTAAATTAACATTTAAAACATTAAATAAAAAAAACAAAATGGACTGTATAATTTCGAAGTGGCTTGTTTGATGGTCGCTAGCTAAGAGAGCGACTTGTTAAAGTTGACTGCGTATGGTTGGCTGGAATACCATGTTGCCACGTTGATTTAAGTTTTCTCCATATTCCCCGCCTTGAACGGTTGGTTCAATAATACTGGTAGAGGACATATTTTAGTGACAGCTCTTTTTAAAGTTCCCTTCGACGTCTTCACTGTAACGACTCGTACTACGCCGTCTGGACTTGGGTGAACTTCACTGATTCGTCCTAAAATCCATTGACTTGGAGGAACATTCTCATTTCTGATGGTCACCAATGTACCACATTCCAAATTGGGTGCCTTTTGTTTGCCCTTATATCTGCTTTGAAGGCAGGAAAGGTAGGAAGTAGACCATTGCTTCCAAAAACTTTGCTGCAATTGTTGAAGCAGCTGAAATCTTGTTAACTGGTTCAGTTTTTACCGTTTCACCAAAAGCTGGATCAGGAACAGCAGTATGTAATCTTCCAATCAAGAAGTGAGATGGTGTTAAGGGTGAAAAGTCATTAGGGTCTGAGGACATAGGGTAAAGGGGACGGGAATTTACCGTAGCCTCAATTTGTGTTAGTATCGTTACAAATTCTTCATACGTTAATAAAACATTTTTAATTGTCCTTAGTAAATGATGTTTTACACTTTTAATGTAAGATTCCCACAATCCTCCAAATGACGGAGAATTCGACGGAATAAAATGTAATTGAATATTTTTATTTGTGAAAAGGTTTGAAAATGTATCATAAGAGGTAGACAAAAACTTAAATAATATATTTAACTCATTTTTTGCACCTACAAAATTAGTCCCATTATCCGAATATATGTGAGATGGTTTACCTCTGCGAGCAACAAATCTTCGAAATGTTGCGATAAATGCTTCGGACGTAAGAGCAGTGACTAATTCTAAATGAACTGCCTTTGTACTGAAACAAATGAAGAAACAGATGTATGCTTTATACGTTTTACAACCACGACCTTTGCGATCTTTAAGGACAAAGGGTCCTGCATAATCAACACCGGTGTGGTCAAATGGAAATGAAATATTTACTCTAGATTGAGGTAAATCGGCAATGGATGGAGTAATTTGAGTAAGCCGATGCTTACCTTGGCTTAAAAAGGATGTTTGCGGTTATACTCTAACCCAGAGTGGGTTAATCGACCACCTACTCGTAACAAATTATTACCATCAATAAATGGCGACAAAGCTAAGAGTTTGTGATTTCGTTTGACTTCTTTATTAGCTTTGATTAATTGTATTTCTTCCTGAAAACATTCATTTTAAGCTAATTTAATTAAACTTAATCGACCTTTTTCTAATTCATCTTGTGATAAAAAGGGGATGTACTAATTTTTGTGAGAGACATGATTGCTGGATGTTGAATCTGGTAGTTTTCTATTTTTGCTAGAATTAAGTAGGTTCCTTAAGTATTTTAAACAATAACTGTGGACTCGCAACAGTTTACGAAAAGTAGAAATTTATTAAAAATAATAAATTGATCTGTTCTTGAAATTAAGGAGATTGGTTTTTGTTTGATTTCTGGAATAATAATAGGATGTGACTGTTTAAATGGTGGAGGAATAAAAGAGCAATCCAGTAAAAATATAGGACCATTCCACCAAAGACGTTGATTAAGTAACTCATGGGGATGAATGACTTTTTGAGAGACGCTGAATTTCACTAACTCTATTGCCTACAAACACTTGAAGATTACTTGGATCTGCGTGTAACCAATGTAACACAATTTGTGAATCACACCAATAAATTGGAAGTATACAAACCCCTATTGCTTCTATAACTGATTTCATTAATTTTGCCAATAATACAGCTCCACATAATTCTAATCGTGGAATTGTAAGTAGTTTTATAGGAGACACCTTGGTTTTTGAACATAATAAACGAACTGTAATGTTTCCAGAATTATCGAAGCACCTGATATACACAACTGCGCTGTAAGCATTAAACGATGCATCGCTAAATCCGTGTATCTCGTATCGTTGATGCGATTCGGTTAAAATAAATCTGTTCAATTGAAATTGATTTATCAAATGTAATTTGGACTTAAATTCCAGTCCTCTATTAATTCTGTGGGAATCTGATCATCCCAATTCAGTTTTTGTTTCCATAACTTTTGTAATAATATTTTGACCAAAATAATACATGGACTGATAAGTCCTAACGGATCATAAACCTTTGCAATATCTGACAAGATCTGTCTTTTTGTATTTATTGTTTTTTGTTGTTGTGGAAGATTGTAACATAAAATATCGAGTTTAGGAAGCCATTGTATTCCTAGTGTCTTTACAGGATCTGAATTTCCCAAGTTTAAGACGCTAAGTTCATCGGCATTGTTCTTTAAATGTTCTATAATGACAGGATCATTGGAAACCCATTTGCGTAAATTAAAACCACTTGAGTATATTAGAAATGTTTCTGCAGGTTTGTTTCGCAACATCACAATCATCAAAATCTGTAATCAAATCATCGACATAAAAATCCTCATGAATTATTTGGATTCTAATGGAAAATTATCTTGACAATCATAAGAAATTTGTCTTAAACATCTCATTGCGAGATATGGAGCACTCGAGGTACCGTATGTCACGGTATTTAAGGTCATAATTGAAAGAGCATGATGTACATCTTCTCTCCAAAATATTTTTTGTAAATGTCTATCATTAGATGTTAAAATTCCCTGTTAAATTGGTCGGGAATATTAATAAAAAAATTAAAATATTTAAAAATGATTAAAAACATCGTTTTTGCTATTTTCCTTCTTTAAAACAATTCATTTTGGAGCAAAGTCGTAATGAAATAATATAGCGATAATTAAATTATCTATAAGATTCGACTAGATAAAAATGTTTTAACGTATTAGCTTTGCTTTGCTATCCAAAATAGCAATAAATACAAAAAAGGGAGGGAAATATGCCTTTTCTTATGCAATTTTTTTCAACCACCTATAAGGATCTTCATAATTCCCCTAGACAATCTTTATAATAGAAAATGCAGTCCACCAAATTTCATTAAAATCGATTTTATAGATTTCGCACAACTAGACCATACAGAAGTTTGTCAATTTCTTTGAATATATACTGGGTGGACCAAAAGTCAGTTAACGCTATCAAAAAGAAAAAAAAATCCGCACGTCGCACATCTCGTGATTTAGAAATATCACGGACCAGTTTTCATCGTATGTTAAAGAAAATGAAGAGACACAAATGAATGCCTCGGGCGTTCGCCAGATTTGACTCTCTGTGATTTTGCCTTAGGGGAGTACTTAAAGATAAAGTTTTTGCCACTTCAATACGGGATATACAGCACTTAAAAGGCAAGATTGCGGAAGAATTTGAAGTTCGCCGTGCCAACTTGTAATTCTGTAGATAAACTTATTTTACTGTGTATAAGCGTTGCCAAAAATGTATTGATGAAGGTGGTTTACATTTTGAACATAAAATGTTCAACATAAAATGTTGAACATAAAATGTAAAGCATGCACGTTTTTGTACCTGCTTATTTACAAAAAACAATAAACGGTTTTTTTAATCCAGCTATTTGTGCTTTTATTAACAAAAAACGTTAACTGACTTTTGGCCCACTCTGCATAAAAAAATCATTCAACCTAATTGGCTAATTAAAGTACTTTATATAATTAAAATTGGATTATTTCTGCGGCCTCAGGAATGTTTTTAAAATTATAAATGGTTTTTTTGGCTTATACCACAATTAAAGTATCTCGGTAACTGCTAATTTGAATTAAATTCAGAAAACGGATTAAAATCGAAAACGACTCGGCAAGACGCTTCTTAAAAAAAAGTGGAACAGTAGGCGGTACTGTAGATTAGCGCGAAGCTTCATGTTATGTTTTCTGTACTTTTAAAATTTAAATATTATTTTTAAAATTGAATAAAGTAATTTTATTATTTATTTATTATTTATATTTTAAACAAATTTTATTATAATAAAATAGTTCAATAAATTATCATGTTTACTATTAACGCCACTTGTTAATAATAAAGAAATATTAAATTAATAATAAGTTATAAATAAATATCGTTTTTGAGTTAACTTAATTATTAAATTAGAAGTTTAAAAATAATAATTGTATTTATATGAATTTATTTAAAATGAGAAGTGTAATTAAAATTTAAACGGGTGATTTAATATTGTTATTAATTGCATGACATTTAGGACTTTCAAATTTTGACAATCGTTACTAATCAAGTCTTTTATAATTTTTTAACTCCAATTTAATTTCTATATTTCGTTAGATATTGTTCATGCAGTATTTAATTTAAACCTGCGTAGAATAAATATATGATAAATGGAAATGAATTGATCAAGAGTAATGAATCCATGTGAAGAACCGCTATTTTGTAACTCTATCCGTGACACCTTCTTGTAGCTCAACGCTTGCCTCAGCATTTTACTATAAATAAACAGTAATACCACCAGTATAGAAGCTTCACTTAAAAAAATGTATTTTCTAGGCTTCTAATTTTTCTTCTTGTTTTTGTGAGACACCTAAATAACGCATTATCAAATTACCAAATAATAGGCAAGTCTACTACAGGCTGGGGCTGTTTATTGCATTCTAATTTTTGGTTAATTGTCATTTTATCATCGACATCTTCTCTCCAGGATTGTCTTGATCTACCTCGTTTTCGTCCAGTTGAGGCTGTCCAGTTCTCTATCTTTTTTGGCCATCTATTTTCTTTGCAGGTTTCTATATCAGTTTAGTCTTTTGTACCATTTCTTTATTTATAACAAAATAAAACTACATGTTTTTTTCCTATGCTGTAGGCTTTTTTCTTAGAAAAACGTATCAAACGTGTATCTTCTTAATTATTTTAAAAATAATTTTTTTTTAATAATTTTGATGAGCTATTAATAACAATTAACTTCGCAACAATGTAAAACTTTTGAAATATGAAAACTTTTATCGAGAAAAAGCTGCGAAAGAAATTATGTATATTATAAGAAGCGATTGTAGATATTCCCGCCAAGCTGATCTCCCGTAGTTTTTGTTCAAAGCTGACTCCCCGCCAAGCTGGCTTCTCGACAAGCTGGCTTCCCGCCAAGCTGGCTTCTTGACAAGTGTGCTCAAAAAGTGTGCTATATATTACCCCTATCTACTAAGGTATTGTTTCAAATATTATTATCCTATTTTTAATAACTTCGTCGCTAATGCCGGTTAAGTTTTACTGGTTGTATCTCAGGAACCACTATTCGTAATTCAATTTTTTTTCTTTTAAAAGATGCGCCTTGCCGAGTTTTTTCCAACGCCGTTTTTCGAATTTAATTTAAAATACTAGTTACCAAGATATTCTATTTGTTTATAAGCCAAAAAATTGTTTTCAAATTTAAAACATTCTTAATGTAGCACAAATAATCTGATTTTAATTCTATAAAGTACGTTAGATAGGTGGAGTGCTTTTTATATGTAAAAAAATTGGCAAACTTCTATATGGTTTAGTTTTGGTTGTGAGTAATTTTAATTAAAACAAAAGAAAAATAGATTTTAAAATTATTATTCGAAATCTATTGAATCGATTTGAATGAAAGTTGGTAAGTTATTGGCAAATTAAGATCCCAAGTGGTTGAAAAACATTGAATAAGAAAAGGCTTGTTTCTCTCTTTTTTTACATGTATTGCTCTTTTGCAGCAAGGGTAATACATTAAAACATTCTTGGCATATTTGCGAGGGAGGATAAGTAATTATTATTAGTGAAGTTGTCACACCACCTTTTCTCTTATATCCAAATGTAATAATTTTTTTACAGATCTTCCCTGATCTAATATGAATCTATAGCGCTCCATTTGAATTTAAACGTATTCTATGTTTCGACACAAATCATTATTTTACATGTTTGATATATTCGCGCCAATTTATATTTGATTTGAAAATTTATACTTGATTATGGATTTAAAGTAGAAAAAAACGATATTTTTCCTAATTTTTAAATATTTTAGATTTTTTTTATTAACATTCTTGACATATTTGAGAGGGAGATAGGTTAATTATTATTAGTGAAGTTGTCACATAACTTTTTCTGTAAAAATCAGAATGCCACCTCTTATATCCAGATGTAATAATTTTTTTACAGATTTTCTCTGATCTAATATGAATCTGTAGTGCTCTTTTTGAATGTAAACGTATTCTATGTTTCACTTCAAATCATTATTTTACATGTTTGCTATATTTGCGCCAATTCTTTGAAATTTTATACTTGATTATGGATTTCCGGGTCATGCAGAACATTTTAACAAGAATAAGTGTTTTGTAACCTCTAAGATAAGCTTGTAATCAATTTATATAAACCTTTATGAGGCACAATGTATAAGCTAACATCAAATATTAATTGTTTTAGGTTCTTTTTGAATGGTTATTTGCCGGCAGGAATTGAATTCGCCATAGAAATGACGTTTCCGGCACCAGAGAGTACAGTGACCGGGATACTCATGACGACATCACAAATATTGACTGTTATTCTCACTATTATTTTGGGCATCGTCTTGGAGAAATGTGGTGCCTTACTTTGTAGTATTACGATGATTTCTGTAGTGGGTATTGGTTGTATTCTAACTCTATTCACCCCCAATAAACTGAAAAGACAGCAAGCGTTCATGAAGGACAGAAACGTTTCTTTTACTCCTCTTAAACAATAACACTGTTATTGAGTATTGTTGTATGCTAAAATCAGGGGTTCTTTTAAATAATAATGAAATCAATCAATTACAAAATTTCTTCTTATAACAGGCAAGCGTTACCCACTTCTAAATTTACTCGACTGTGAGCACGTTGTACTAATGTTAAAATTTAGTTTTGAAAGTTCTACAGATTTTTGAAAGATTTTGCTCTAAAATTGGAGAAAATGGTCAAAAATTACTTTAAATAAATTTTTTTTTTAAAATACGATAAAAAATGTACGATGTACGGCCTTTGCAATGGGTTTTGCGTCTTTTGTTGGCTCCTTAGTTCTTTCTTGAGCATTGTGAGCCTTTTCAACATGCAACAATCATCAATTCCAACATCAACAGGACGCAAAACCGATTGCAAAATCCATTCTACCATATGTAAAGAGTAAAACAGAGAAAATAGGGAGAGATTGTTAGAAAATCAAGGATTATACGGGATTGTATGTGGGAACTGTGACAAGTCGTACATCGGACATATCAACCGAAGAATCAATGTTAAACGGGAAGAACATCGGAATGCCATCGAAAGGAGGGAAAAACGTCGTTCCTTGGACAACATGTCTCAAACACAGGACATACAATAAATCTTAATCAAACTACGACGTTAGCTAACATTGAAATTAAGAGAAAACGCGAAATCAGAGAATCAATAGAAATTGAAAAAAATTCCAATAGTCTAAACCAAAGAGCTGATACTCAAAGACTTCCAACAATATGCAAAACGGTATTAACGAAAAAATCAAAATACATCAGGCCACAAGACCGACTAGTAGCACCCCGCCTACCTACCCACAAACAGGACCAATAAGCTTTGCCAAGAACGGTTCGAGAGAAGCGCGACTGATCGGCTATATAAGTAACCGCATTGACTAGGAGAGTCAGTTACAAAAAAAAACCACAAAAAACACAAAAAACCGGCTTCGGCCACCAAAAAAATTAACAAAAACCCCAAAACCTGGGCACGTAGGGCCCAACCCCTTGAGCACCAAGTCGCCGAACTGAGCCGGGACTCAGAGCGGAGACTTGAGGCCCAAGTAAGCAATTTTAGTTCGCGGATAAGTCACATTAAGATAACAAAAATATAGCGGAGATGCGCTGTCCTGAGTTTTTGCATTTGGTTAGAAAACCATGTTGGGGTTCTATTACCCAGGACCTCCAAAGAGCATTTGGCTGATTGTTGTGCCTCTATAGCGCATCAGAGTGCTATAGGGGGGAAAGGGATGGTCTAGAGCATTGGAGCAAGGTGGGGTGACTCCTGTTTTTACTCGACATAACACACCTTACTCCAATGAATTGTTACACCCGATCGAACTACCTGGGTGAACATTTCTCATAGGCTGGGTTCAATTAAATTGCTTGCTTGCTTGGAGAGTCAGTTTACTGACCTGACTTGACAATGGCAAGTGCGACCTTGCCATTGTCATAATAGTCGAGTAGAACCACAACAAGGACACATGAAACCATGAACCACAACAGAAGAGATGGCAGAAAAATAATTACATTTAAAAACAAGGGCAAAACAGACCGAACGAGAAATAAATGTTCAAAAGACAAAAAAGCTAACTCCGACAAGAGCTAGGGGAAATAAACGCACAGTTGGATTAAAGGAAGATATTGAAACAGTAGAAACTTTTACATATCTGGGAGTTAAGTGCAGACGGAACAGAAGAACCACACATTCAAAGAAGAATAGTAAAGGGAAACAAAGCTTACTTTTCACTTGCGCATATATATTCCGTTCCAAAAACACACACGGGTGGAAAATTAGGGTTTACAACACTATCATGAGACCAATAGTATGTTATGAAAGATGACAACATGAAAGTCTTTAAAAGAAAAGTCCTAGGGAAGATAATGAGACCTTTTGACGAAAACGAAGTGTGGAGATCAAGGCACAACAAAGAGTCACCGATCTTAGCATTTGTTAATATTTGTTAGACGTGATAACTTGGAGAAGATCGATGCGGTTATATAAGTTTGGAGGAGATCAAGGCCCAATTTGGGCTGCAGATGAAAAAATATTTTTCGTCGATAACAGTGATAGAATTATTTTTTTCATTGGTTGAGTTGGGGACTCCTACTCTAAAGAATGTACTGTCAAGATTTAAAAAAATAAATAAAGAGAATTGTCTAGATATAATACGAAAAAACAATTAAGAAAATTTTGTACATTTTTCGTTTATAGTCATTTTTGACATTTCTTGTTCAGTAACTTTAGTAACTTTGACATTTCTTGTTCAGTAACTTTAAAAATAAAAAACAAACCTGAAGTCAAATTTTATAACGATATGGTCATATTTCACTAGTTTTAAGCGACTTTTTGAGGTGTGCCACTTGCCTATTCCTTTTTACTATACTTTTCCATTTTGTCGGAGTTTTTCTATGTAAATATTGTACCGTATAATCTAATCTAATCGTCTTTGTTTGTTGACTATATTATTTTTTATATTAAATACCTAATCATTTCTTTCGACATTTTCCTTCTGATTATTTTTGCTAGTTTCTGCCTACAATCATTTTTCGTTTTTGCTGTCGTCCGTTTCTCTTTCAGTCTGTCTCTTTCGTTTTTTATTTTTTAATAGCTGTTGTCTACCCCTGAGTATGATAGTTTGTTAATAATACATAATATGTATTTTGGTTATATAAATACACAATATTCTTATTCTTGAAGTTGTTATTTTTAACTACGTTGTTATTGTAACAATCGTATTTTTAGCTGAGTCTGTTTGACTAAATAGATTCTTTGTTATTCTTAGGCCGTTTTTAAGCCTTTATTTTTAGGCTGTTGTTATTCTTTAGGCCTATTATTCTCGGTATATATAAGGCAATGCAATCATCTAATCGAATAAGTAATTACTAGGAATTTAATTTCTGATTGGTAATAATAACACGATGTATCTTGCTGATAATAACCTTATTTACATTATTGTTAGTATGTAAATAGTGTAATCAGTATCTTCAGTATTGTTTAGTGGCTTTATACAGCATTTTGTGATATGTTTTTCTACCATTATCCTATGGAATTATGGTGGCAACAATAAAATTATTGTAAATAATATAAATCTTTTATTAATAATAAAAAATGTTTTATGTACAACGCAATATAGCAGTTTTTTTTTAACAATTACTTATGCTACAAGTGATCTAAGTAACTTTTACCAATGGAGGACTAATTTGAGACGGAGCGACAGCGAGGGCTCCAAAGAAAAGTTCGTGGCGAGTTAATATATTGACTGCCCTTATCTTCTTCTTTTGGTGCCTAATTATCTGTAATATCTATTTTTTAACCATGATATTCTTCTTCTCCCAATTTCTCTCTTTCTTTCTCCATTCTTCGTAGTACAGTCTCGTTGGCTGCCTTGTCCGTCCGTGATATCCTTGGGATTCTTTTGTATAGCCACATCTCGAAGGCTTTTTATCCATCACTTCAGTGAGTATTCAGAATTTAACTGCCCTTATAGAGGTCTTTGAATAAACATGTTTTATCTGTAAAATTTAATAAACCCAAGTGTGTGTGAGATATCATCAAAATTTATTAATCAAATTTTCGCTGCGGCTTCGCTGGTTGGTGCTCATCCGAAATTTCCCATTTTTCTTGAATCCGGCGCATAAATCAGACTAAACTTGATCAATGATATGGGTTATGTTAGCTTTGAGCGCCACTGTACGTTATGAGTTACACGCATAGAGCTGCAACCTAACAAAACCATTCAAGACAGAATTCAACAGGGTCAAATCGCACCGCTTTGTTGGCCAGTTCATATCCTGGCATGAGCTGTGTGTGACGTCCATATTATTAAATTTAGGCCAAAAAAAGTTGATAATCATTGACTTATAGCTGTCGCCGTTGACAGTGATGGTGTGGCCAACGTTGTTTTCAAAGAAATATAGATCGATGACACCGCTATCCCAAACAGTAACTTTTTCGGAATGCATTGGACACTCTTGGATCTCATATGGAACGGTATCTAGAACTTGCCGTGTTTTGTTGAGAGATGTACAGTTTGGTTACTTTTTAAGTAAAAGGAATAAGCCTAAGACCCACGTCGATACTGAGGACTGATAAATAGATATCCTGGGATATTTTGCAGCTAATCCAAATTCATCCTTACGGAAATGTTAGCAATTGTTACAGATATCAACTAGAACAATTCATAGAATTAAAAAAAACATCATCGTACCCCTTATTCGTATACACTAGCTTAATATTTACATCCTGGAGATTACGTAACACGTGTAGAATTTTGTGAATGGGTTTTAATGAAATGCTATCAGATCAAGATGTTACAAAAAAAATTGGTGTGATTATTCGAAATTTAGAAAAAATGGAATGTTTAACCAGCATAACTGTCACTTCTCGAGTAACAAGAATCCTAAACTCACGTGGGATTGTAAATTTCCTTGTAACTGTCCTTTTCTTTTAATCTTTTTTTTTGTGCTGTCAAAATTACTAAGATATTCGCTCTTATAATTTATGATGAAACTTTAAACGGAGAGCGTTACTGCAACATTTTATGGCAAGTAAGTGTACCAGCACTGAAAGCTTTACGTAATAATGAGCCTAACATGGCTTGGTTTCAACAACATGAAGCACAGGCTCACAGTATTTGAGGAGTCGGCACATTGCTTGATGAAATATTTAGCGATAGACGAACAGCTAATAAAGATCCGTTTTTCTGGCCGCGAAGATCCACACAATTGTCACCTTTCTATTACTATCTGTATCTGTAGAAAATGGAGGGTAAGTTAAGTTTCACAGCACTTAGGCCACAATTGACCCATTGTGCATCCTCCCAGGGAGCTGTCGCCCTTAGCTCACTGTCCATCCTGCCATTTCTAGGAAGGTAGACAAGTCACCAGGAGACATCTCCCTTATGTGGGCAGATTTAGGCCAGGACTCGTCGAACGCGTACTCTCGTATTAACGATAACTCCTGGCATTCGCATAGGACATGCTCTACAGTTTCATCT